ATGGGTAGGAATGTGTAGTTCCCAGGTATGGGTATTATACTTCAAGAAACAATGCTTAGTAATTAATAGTGTTTTCCTGCTCTGGTAACTCTTTGCAGCATTTTGTGTAGCCAGCTGCAGTGTTTATAGATGTTATCTTCTTCTGCTTTTTGCAGTTTCATTGAATTTTGACAGCATAGAATTTGAAGAAATATTTCAAAGTTGTTTCAGAGGTGAAAATTGCTTTCAAAATTTACATGGCTAAATTCTGCAGTAACATACACATCATAACAGGTCGTTAACAAAGCAAAGATACGTCCTCTGAACAGCAGTCCAAAATTATTGCTAGCTAGCAAAATCACAGCTTAAAGTAAGAACAATTTACTGAAGTAAATACAAATTTAAAGGCTAGTTTGTTCCAGCATTAAAAAAATATTTGCATGACTCCTCTTGTTTAGGACTACACAATTGCTGCAAGGAGTTTTCACCTGGGATTCATTTTGAGAAGCTATTTGTTGTGTCTAGTTCTTCTGAGAGATTTAGAACAACTCTGTTATGAGCTTGTTTCTTTTTTCCTGGTTCCCTACCTTTTCAAAGGGAAGAAAAAAGTGTCAATGTATAGAGAACAGAGAAATAGACTGGAGACATGGATGTTATGAGGCTGCATAGCCTGTAGGTTTCTGTTTATGGTCAAGGTGCCTGGCCAGACTTGTCCAGACTTACCAGCTAAGCGTCATGGGGAGTCTTAATCACACTGTGTCTGTAACAGTGGACAGCCTAAATCCTGGGCAAGCATTCCAGCATTTGGCCTATTCATAACATCTGCATGGTTTTTCTGATTAGAAATTGAAACTGGGTATATCAGCTTTATAGGGAAACATTGCAAAGAAGTATTTTTGATAAATAATAAATTTTGGGAAAATTCCATTATGTAAGACATGAGAATATAAACTCCAACCACGTTTTTTGGAATGCAATGAATTATTGTACTTTGTATGTTTGTATTCTAGAACTAAACTGTGTTAATTCCCATTTTCTGCCCAGCCAGCTGGTGTCCACAGAACACTTAAAGTCTAGGGGACACAATAGTAATTGATCTCTTTGATATCTTGTCAGACTCATTCCCTCCAATTCTTCGAAGAGCTCTTAAACTTCTAGCAGTACAATTATCTAAGTAATAATAAACTTGAAACCCAGTCAACTCTGCAAAGCATAGGCCAAATCCTGTGAATTCATACTGAGGCAAAATTTCCACTGAAGTCAAAATTAGGAGCTTTATCACTTTCAGGATTTCTGTCAGGCAGAAATTCCTACTTATTTTCTTCCCTTTTGGTAAGGATTACTGAACACACAGATTGTTATAAAATTTCAACACAGAAAATATTTTTTTTTTTAATTAAAGCATATATTTTTATGAGCATTCTTTTGTGAAGGGAGTGTCTCATTTAAGTAGTACTATTTCTTAAATAATAGTTAAATGGAGTATTTGAAGATGATAATTTTCATTCTCATCAATATCAGGACAGCAGGATCCCATGACTGACTTAAGACAAAATGACTGAGCATGGATATATTTCTGCCAAGTACAATATAGAAATAGGAGGCCAAGCTTTAAAAGATGGGTGATACTTTTCGTGTGACTTTAAGTCATATTCTTAATCAACTGGTTTAAATTTATTTGAGGTAGAATGTGTCTGTTTTAAATACTCCTCCATTTTCTACTGGGTATGTAATAGGTTTCAAACCTTTATTCAAATACACCCAGGTCTGAGACAAAGTCCATGATTTCTCCGTCTGAAGTTGTTCCCAGTGGAATGCTCTCTAGAATGACAGTAGTAGAGCTTTTGTTATTGTCCTCATATCAGAACCTTACAGCATGTGTGTGGCTGTGAGGACACTTCACCAGCATCTTGGCATTTTCCTGGTAGATATCAGTAGATTAAGTTATTTCTTTTGGCATATTAAATACTAGTGTGTTTTGAAACCTGCAGTTCCTTGCTTCTCCCGTTTCCTATTCATTTTCCTGTTTATTCTTATCCTTCGCAGATAAATTGTGTTCTCTAATGTCTCCTTCTCTGTTTCTGTTTTTCAGCTCTGCTCTTTTGTGGCTAAAGCCCTGAATTTCATTGTCCTTATGCAAGTAAAGCATCTCTTGAAGTCAGTCATGGTTTATCTTCCCGTGTTTTGGCCTTTGCATGTTGTTGGGCAATTACATTATATCCATAGCAAACCCTCTGTATTTTGGGACATAGGCTTCAGCCAGCCTAAGGCGGTTGATTATGCATTTACCTGTAGAATTAATTTGCTTACTTCCAGTCCCCTATTTGGAAGCCTGCTAGGAATGTGCATGCTGCTTTAATATGCAAATTCTAATAAGTAGGTGAGAAGAAGTTTTTTATCTGATAGGTTAGTACCCATTTAAAGGCAAAGATGGCAATCTGCTTGTTTAATGTTCAGTAAGATCACAATGCTGAGTGTCCAGGGGGCTATGAATTGCTTAAAACAAAATAACTTGGGAGCTGAGAAGATAATTATATATGAGAGGAAATACTGGGATGGGCAAAGAATGCAAATGAAGGCAGGCTAAGATAGATTCAGTGCCACAGACTAGCTCCTCATTTACCCCTCCCTCAAATACAGACAATAGCCCTCAGTAACCTATGTGAGTTAGTGAACATTTTGCTGCATCTAAAATGTTGGTGCAAGTGATCATTGCTTCTAATGACTATCCAAGTGTCTGAGCCCACCCTCTTTGGAGTCACAATTTACACTTTTTGTGTTGGGTAGAAAGTAGGAAATGTTATTTTATTGGAGAAGAAGGATTTTATTTGGGTGTTCCAATTTTCTGTTAAGATTATTTCCTTCTGGAGTGAAATGGAACGTATGGGTCTTTTACACAAAAGGTATAAACTATGAATGTCAGGTCATTGTAAGAGATAGTCCAAACTAAATGCAATTGTCCATAGTTAGTTCTGTGCTTCATTTATTCCTTTGCTGAAACATAAAAACCCGTGACTGCTGCTTTCTCTCAGCAAAACGGGAGACTTTCTGTGCCTGCATTTCTGATGTACTGTTAGGCTGTAGCAGCCCTCTTTCCCTTAGCATCTACTATTGGCAGTGGGACTTGGGTCTCTCAGTTAAATGAATTTGTGTCTGCTCCAGTTCCCTGTTCTTCTGCATGTCAGATCCATTATATTTTTGATGCAGTGGATTATGGTGTTTTAAGGACATAGAGTAGCTGCTACATGCCTGTGAGTTAACAAAATGTATGTATTTAAATCACATAGGAAAATTAAAAGTGTTTTTTTCCTATATTTGGAATGACTAGTAGCTTTACAGTCATCAAACTGTGCATGGAATGACCAATTGACCCTTCCATTCTGTATGTTGACTGGTGACTATAAATGAGAAGTCTTTCCACCCCTGCCATGAGGTTATGAGACATGACTATGTAGTAATTAATGCCACTGTATCATTTTTTAACTGCTACAGAAATATAATATCAGATGCTCAGATGGCATCAATTGGCTTAGCTCCACTGAAGGCAGCAAAATGCGATGCCAACTTATGCCAGCTGAGGATCTGGCCCACAGTTAAAAGGAAAAAAGGGACAGGCTGCCAATATGGCAGGGAACATATTGAGATTTATGGTAGTGACTTAATCAGTAAAAAGTTTTGCTTGAAGTGGTTGTCTCTTTGCACATTTGCATTAGTCACTTGAGCTGGAGATATTTGAAGCTCTAGCACAGCCTCTGCGGGCACATTTGTGCTCTTGCACTCTGTTCCACACGCTATGCTCTTAAATATCTGAGAGCATCCCACATCACTCCTGTTCTTCTAGCTGGCAATCTCTCTTTAGAGGTCTACACAGATTCTGGGCCATATATATTTTTCAACATAATTTTAATTTGGATGACCGTGGTTTTTTCCCTTTGTCTATGTTTCTGGTGTTGCTTTCTTAATCACACCTAAAAATGGGAGGAATTTCATGTCTTTTTTAATTCTTATCTAGATGTCCTGTTTGCATTCAAGTATTATGTTAATCTTGATAAGAATAAAAAAATACAGTTTGCTGCCTTTGTATTCAACTATGTATGTCATTTTTTTTACTTGGAGATAAGGTGACTGTACTTAATGTAATACCTGTAAATTTTAATCTGCTATAAATATGATTGAATAACTCAAAGGATAGAAATTCTCTTCTCTGTATTACAGAGTTAGTGAATGAAATGCTTATTAAAGATGAAATGGCTGTAGAATCTCCCCAACTTTTTTCTCCCTCAGTAGTACAATTGCTGTAGCATTTGGTTTATAATGAGTGTTGTCTCTAAACTTGCGAGCCATCCCTAGTTCTGATATCTTGTTTTTGATTGTTAACAATGTCCAGAGAATATAAGCTTTTGGGCCTGGCAGTTTCCATGCTTGGTCCCATCTGTAATGTAGGTTATTCTAGAAACTCTGTGATCCAGTCTTGTAATACGAAACTGAGGAAACACTTCTCTTCTGCACTGAAATACCTGCCTTAAAAATGAAACAAACTGATTGATGACTTGGAATTGGACCTACACTATTATGTCCAGCCAGTTTTGGATCACACCCTACAAATACATATTTAAGCAGGATGAAAAGTAGAGGTATTTGAATAACTAAAGCCTGCAAAGTTTGTTGAGTTTTAAACACATAATGAATTTTCTATTCTGTGCTCTAAAAGTTCAGAAAAAATAGACTAATCATTAAAACCTCTCAGATACAAAACTCAGTTTTTTAAGAGATTTCAAAGGATGCTTTGAATGACACTCAGTCTTTTACCACAATATATTTTCCTGTACTTCAAAGTAAGAGTGAATCTTCTGTGGCGTCTGTATCATGTAGGCCCTGAAAAGAGTGCTGGGGAGGCAGGACACAGTGTTAACCTCTTTTTCTTTTAGTTTGCTGATTATTGTGGGTTTCAAAGAATCCAGTGCTACCTCAACTGGAGGACTGTTGCCTGTCTTAGGAAAAAAATACGGGACCCAGTCCAGCTCTTACTGAGGTCCTTGAAAGCATTTCTGTTTCAACCAACAGTTATAAGTTTAAATTTATAGCATGTAGTGTCTTCAAATCCCATAAGCTGATAATTGCAAACATTTCTTATAAACTCTTGAGTACTTATAGGAAAGGTAAGAGTTGTATTAAAATATCGCAACAAATGTTTAAAGCAATATTTATGCTTATGTTCTCAGTGAGGTTTTTTAGAAATTGTATGTGCTTTACAAGTTTCCAAATTATATGCGTTTTTGAAAGAAACTTAGAGTGGTTTTACGAAGTATCATTGTCCCCATTTGATAGATGGGGAAACTGAAACGTGGAACAGTTAAGTAATTTTCTCAAGGTTGTAGGATAGTTCACGGCTAAAATAGGGATGGATTCTTTCTTGGTATTGAGTGTTTCATGCACTGTTCTGCTTCTTCTCTGTGTTAAAGAATGCTACAGTACCTTTATGATACATTTTAAAAATAAATACAACTCGTGGTCTAATGCTTACAAGTCTCTTTGAAAACCCTTTTCTTTAGCTGAACATCTTCATCTTCTATTCTGACCTCTCACCAAAATTAAATTTTCATACACACAAACCCCACAATAGAGTGGAAGACTGAATGCCATATTTGACTTGCCTGGATCAGAGTCAAAATCAGAGGGCAGAATCTAGCTAAGGAATATTGAGTTTAAATTCTTATAAAAGTACTTTAATGCTTCAAGAATTATTTCCTGTATATTGGACCAGAACAGAAGGTTAGTAGGAGATAGATGTCCCCAGTTATAAATAATTGTGACAACAGCTAACAGTACAGTGCACTTGAAAGAACAGTTAAGTCTTGCTGCAAAATACATCCTAACTACAAAAATGACAGCCTGCATGGTGCTGTGGATAGAGGGCAGCTTGTACTGCTATTCAGAATAATTATATTAGCTTGTATCTGCTTAGAATAACCCAGAGTTTTGTAAATATCTCCTAGAAAGTAATTCAGTGTTTCTTATTCTGGTATTATGTAGGAGTGCCAGAAGACATAGTAAGTAAGAAATTTGAAGTCAGGTTATAGTACTTCTGGGGCAGAATGCATAATTGATATTCTTTTAAAATTACAATAGCTTTTACCTTGCAAGCAGTGTTGATGCTACACTTTGTGGTCTGGCTGGCACCAGTGAAGACTGTGGTTAGTCTAGTTTCTTATTTTACAAAAGTCACTGCAGGAAAGGATACATTCTTCTTTCAGACTCCTCAAAGCTTTGCTGAGGTGTATACACTTGATGTAATTTGAAGGAAAGTTTCACTTTACAGAAAGCATAACTTCATCCTACAGTTGTTGCCAAAATAGTGAATCCTGGCCTGTTCCATAATGTCAAGGATCCTTACTTAGAGTTTAAAGACAGTTTATTGGACCACTGTTGTCATTAAACTCTACTGCACACTTCTGTAGGGTGCTTTCTGTTCTTGAAACAAACTAAGAAATGTCTTCATCTTCGCTTTCTACTATGCTATTAGAAACAAATTGGAGTGGAGCTGCATTTACATTTGAATCCTTCCTAAATGCTCATCATTCTCATGCCAATGCTAGCCTTAGAGAAGACATTCTCTAATAAATGGAAGAACACAGTTTCCCCTGCCACTGGAGGTTGTGTTATTACATATGGTGACCACTAGAATTATGTACACATATTCCTAGGGTTACTTCTCACTTTTGGCCCTCCCACCTGATTAGAGCTGCATGTGGAACAGTGGAATAAACAGGTGGTATCTTGTCAGATTTTTCTGTTTTAGATGGGATAAGTTCCTGTTGTAACCATCTCTTTATCAGAGGGTCATGTTTATTTGCCAAGTATTGAGATGCATTGAATATTGTTAGTATGATTCCTGTGTTCCAATAGGAGCTTCTTACTTCCATGTCTGTGGAGCTGGAAGTACATAAAGGGGAATCCAAAGCTTGTCAGTGTCTGTCAGCTGCAGATCTGGAAAACGTAAGAAATGCATCATTTCAGGCACTAAGAAGGAAGGATATACCCTGCACTTAACATGGAGAAACATGAAGTAACTTGTGTTGCTGTCTAAATATTTTGGAACTAATCCAAATGAATCAGATAAATAAAGCTGAAGTGGTAGCCAGTGAAATGTCTTCTTGGACCTTCATTTCTGTCTGAAGTCTATGCAGAAAAAATAGGTGAAAAGCTTTACTATCACTGACTTCTTTTTTCCGAAATAATTGGTCTATCAATTCAAGAAAAAAATAGCTTTAGAAAAGCTGAGAAATAAGCGTGTGTTGAAAATTTCTATAGCATTTATAGCCTTTTACGCTTCAGCCTCTTGCCTTTCCTAGAATTATTCATTGTTTATCTCACTGAAAGTAAACTTAAATCTTAGTTCATGAACTAGACTTCTAGTAGAGATAGAAGAACCTACTCTTACTCTTACTCTTACTGTTGAGCACAGCTCTGACAACAGATAAACAAACCTCAACCACGTAGGCCTTTTTCTGCTGGAGGATGTTCAGCAGCAAATTGAGATTATTTGGGTTATTTAATGCTCTTTCCCCCACGGCCCCAACAACATGTAGGACACTGTAACTATTCTTCACTGGAGAAACTCTGATGATTGGGATACTTCATCCTTCACCACTAGGAGTTTCTAGGTCAGAAGAGCTAACATATAAGAGTGTAAGCTAAAATAGTATAAGAAGTTAGACAAAGCCGACGCTTCTGTCTCCTGGTTGTACAGATGTCATTGGACCACCAAATAACAAAAGCATCATGATGGCAAATTCCAATTCAGGTTTAGATGACTACATCAAACCATATAATGGTGGATAAGACACCTCTAGAATTTACAATATTCAACTAGTGCCTAGCCCATGGCAATACTATCCACAATAATTATATGCTACCACCAGCTATCTCAAGGATCAGTTTAGGAAGAGAGCAGTTGCTTTGCCCAGGGAAATTTAGATTAGATGTAAAATTGGATTTTTCATAAGGCCTTGTTTTTACCTCGCTACGAATGTTTCCTTAGCACAAGTGAAAACTTTACACATTTTAGCTCAAACTGTACTCTACTAAGCCTCCCACATTTATACCCATCTTCTTGGCAGTCATCCCAAAATATGTTTGGGTTGAAGCATTACACATTACATTTGGTGAAGCTTTAGCATTCCCTGTTGCTCACATCAATCCTTATTTCTGTTTGCTCTTGTAATTTACAGTTAATGAAAATTCTAAGTTTACCTTTGTTTTTGTTGGCGTCTGTACAAGAGAACCCTTTAGCCTTTTCAGCCTCACATCCAAGTGAAAAGCTGAATCCAAAAGGGAAGGTAAAACCTATCTGAGTGCTTTCTGAGTTTGGACAGGATCCCTTAGCATTCATGTCAGCATTGTAACATTACATTTCTGAAGGAACAACAGAAGAGCCTTGCTCAAGACTTGACCTGTGCCTGGTCTTGTAAGCAGCAGGTAGAGCACCTGATACCAGCATGAGAATGCCAGATCTCAGTGGCCATCTGGTTAATGGCATTAACCAGTTCCTGCTCCCTTCCAATTCAGGCAAGATTCTGCCTGAAATTAACAGGAATTTGCCTGATTACCAGTGCGGAAACGTGGCTAATAACAAACTCGTACTGATGACCTTGACACAGCGTAGGCAATATTGACAAAACAAACCATTCTGGAGTTAGTGCCGTCTTTTCTAATGAGCCTGTTAAAAGTTGACTCACAGATTTTCAGTTCAGGAGATACAATTTCTGTTTACCTACGGTACCACCTATGCACTGAGCTGTGTATGTACAAGGTTATAATGTTAAGCAATGAGCTGTAAACACATGGTACATGTAGAATTTCTGTACATACACACAATTAGATAATGTACGTGATTTGTATTATGCTTTTTAAGACACTTATTTGAAAGACAGTTTTGTGCATTAAAAATTCCTATGTAGCTATCAAATTATTATAAAAGTAAGCTTTAAAATACACTCTTTTCATTTATTTTTGGTGCTCATTACAGTTCTGAATCATTGCTCGATCAGAAATGTTACGTCTTAAATTAACAAAATATTTTGCAGGTGACAAATTTAAAAAAAAAAAGTGCAATCAGAGTTATAAGACGGTTGCATATTTCTGGGAAAACCAAGTTTCATGAAGGCAAGCCTGACCAAGCCTTCCTGCTTCTGCTTATGGTGCTATGTACAGCCTGTTTTTCACAGGTCATCAAAGTGTTGCATTATCAGTAGGAACTCTGATCACATTTTGGAAGTTCATTTCCTTCTTTCTGGTTCTTCTTTTGTTGTTGTTGCAGAGGCTGTGCAGTCTGACATGGGAGAAAAGCACTGTTTGCACCTGTTTAAAATCTCCAGTGCTTTGTGTGGTTCCTGGGCAACAGGCAGGAATCCTGAAAAGCTAGGCTGCACTTGCTCAATTGTTGCTGGCAGCTGTGACTTTGAGAGAGCACATAGCAGCTCGTTAGCAGGTTGCTTGTGTTGTGTGACATGCACCAAGCATGTCAAATTCTGAGCTGAGCTCGCTGCCTTTGCTGCCTGCAGTCGAGGCTGGGTTGCCTGGGGTTGCAGACTTGGCCAAGGAAAGCATTATAGGGATGTGAGTTCCTCGTTGGTAAAGGGGCAGGGAGGTGAGGCACGGAGCTATGAATCGGTGCTTTCTGATTAGAAAAGGGGAACGGTGGCACATAGGTTCCCTGCTCCAATGGGTGCTATTTTCCTCCAGCAGTTTTGTTCTTACCGAGTATATTTGCAGTGGTGGAACATAGAAATGCAGGGGATAAGATGAATTTGAGTGTGAAAGTGTGCACACAGGCTCATGCATACATTATATGTGCATTACAGTGGGGAGAGACAAGATGACTTCGTTGGATAATTTTAAATTTTATTATGAGCTTTGATTTCTGGATCTTGTTTACTTTGACGTATCAGGATCAAATCAATCCTTACAACCTTGATCTTGGCCTATTTAGGCAGCATCCAAGCAGCAGATGCACTCACACTGTTTGACTGGCAAATTCAGACCATTTCATCTTCATATCCACTCAGTTTGTGCCTCTTGGCTCAATAAAGCATCTCTTTGCTCTTGTAAAAGGAGTTAGTATGTGATAAATCTAGTTAAATAAACTACAAAGCTACAGCATCCTTACAATCTGTTGAAATCTATATGATGGGAACAGATCTGCCATTGTCTTGAGATCTGTTTACACTCTATGCAGTTTTAACCAAGAAGGATTGATCTATAGACTGATTTTTCTGCAGCTCCAGAAAATCTCCTTTTGACACATAGTGCTAATATTGACAATGGAAGTCATTATCCCAAGATGAAGAAAAAGCAGAAGGAAGTCTGGCTAGTGAGGAAATTAGATACACTCATGAAAAAAAAGCTTATCAAGGACCACTTAATGAAAAGATAAATAATATATATACATATATGTATGTATAACATACATAACCACTTGCTCAGAAAATGCCTGGTCAGTGGTTTGCCAGCAACTGGAAAGATTTAGTGCAAGGCAGCAAGAGTTCTCATTTGTCCTGCCCATAGGTACAGTAACTGCCCTGACTAAAGTAAGGAACATGCTCTTGAGCCTGTCTGCTGATCCTGCAGAGGGATATGATATGGGCATGGTAGGTTTTCATTTGAACCTTACTCCAAGTGCATGCTTCAGTGCTTATTTGTTGTTGTTGTTGTTGTTGTTGTCGTTGTCTTCTTTATCTGAATATAGAAAGTATGAATTGTCAGGTACTGAGGGTAAATGTGATAAAATTAATAGAAACCAGAATATGACATAGTCATGTACATTCAGCATGAGGCCCTTGATTTATTTTGTAATCAGAGCTTTTTATTTCCTCATCTAGAAAATCGTGATAATTGGTGTTTATCTCATATTGCTGAAAAAAAGCAGTTATGTTGTAAACTTTCTTTTCATGGTCGTCCCTTTGCTTTTCTGTTATCATTTCCTTTTCTGTTTTGAACTTGGATTGTAATCTGTCTCGCCATAAAGGGCCTACTGAGTTTGTCTTCTGACGTTAGTTTGGCTGTCAAATCATTGAAGGAAATAAACTGAGATATGTGTGTAGGTCTGTGTGCTGGTTTTGCTGTCTTCTGTCATGCAGGCAGGACTAAAAAACTTGAAAGTTGACATCTCTTTAGTGGGAACTCGCAGTTTTTATTCAAGAACAATATTTAGGAGTACTAGTCTTTAGGAAAGTATTTGTGGTCCCTTTGGTTGGCCTTGTTTAGCACTGTTCTTGAGATCATCTCATAACTGCAGTGAGAAAATTGCAAGTTTCTTCCTTCTCTGCAGGTAATTTGGCAATTAATATGCCTTTTAATATGGCTTCACTTTTTCTAAAATTCAAAAAAATGAGATCTGTAGGAATTATTCTGTCATTTCAGAACATGTTGTTAACTGGAAATAGCTGCGCTGCACAGCACAAACAAGTCAGGGGCTGGATGTTTATGAAACACATGAGAATAGGTGTTGCGTTTTCTTATGTACTGCTTCATTTTACATAAACTGTATAGCGCCAGAAACACCCACTCAAAAATAAAGTGCAATAGAAAAATGGCATTCAAATGTTAAGGATATGACTTAAAGGTCTTGCAGCCAAGTACAATAAAGTTGAGAGACTTATCCGTTTATAAATCATATTGTTGTCTCATGTATTCCAGTTGATGCAGTGGAAAGGACAGACCCCAGAGAGAGGATTATGTGAGATGATACATGTAGGTACAGTAAGATGAACACAGTAGCCTGAAATTCTAGTGGAAATATATCTGAGAAGATTCTCTCTTTAGATTCTAACTTGTGACCATCATGTTTTAATTCATTCTGTAAATTACTCCTATGTTTTTAACATCCCTGGATTCTAACAATCTGCAAAATAAAATATCCCCTGTCTTAGAATGGCATCCTTGCTTTGTTGCCATAGATGATATCTGCATTCATATGCCATGACACATCTTTCACTGCTTCCTCATGAATAGAATTGTAGCAAGATGATGTGTTTCACTGTGAGCCTTGCTAATGAAGAAGAGCATGGATTGTTCAGGAAATACCAGACCATTTCCTCTTCCATAGGCTCCCTGGTGAGACTTTGGGGCTAGCAGATACATCTTGAACCCATCAGAGTGACAATAGACAGGTCTTAAGTGGCTACATTGTAAGCTGAAGACAGAAGAGTTACAGTGACTTTAACTTGGGTTACATCCAAACACAATTTTAGAGGGAAGGGAAAAAAAAGAAGTCTGCCTCTAGGGTTGTGAGCATGGGCAGAAGCTCTCCTTTCACCCCGCAGTGTCTCATCTTTTTGGGTTTTGTTGTTGTTAGTGGTGAGAGTGTTTTTGTTGTTTGTTTTGGGAGGGGAGTGAGGGAGAGCTTGTTTCCAACACTGCATCTTCCACATGTCTAGACACTGATATGTAAAGACACTTAAAAGGATAGAGTTCCTTCTACTCTGTGGTTCCACTATTGCAGCAGGTAGTGAGTGATACCTGTTCTCATATTTGTGGTCCTTAAGTTTACTCAGAGCCTAGAAAAAGTCCACCTTAGCACTTGGATGCAATGGTAGCCATCTTTGACTTTTACCTTCTGGCTTGGTTTATTCTAATGCATGGCAAATCGAGGAAGAGGGAAAGGAAGAGAGGCCATAGAAGGAGGAATGTAAAATCATCTAATAAAGCTACATCAATACATTATATAAAACTAGAAAAATAATTAGAAGATGAACTTTCTTTCCAAACTACACAGTCCTCTCATCCTTGGTTTCCCAAGTAGCCACCCTATTCCATCACTGTTTCCTTGTCAGTGTCTCAGAGGACCTGCAGCACTGGATAGCATTGTTACTCCACTCTTCTTTGTGTATAGTTCACAGCTTGGCTATTCCTCCTAGTCACTTGTGGGTCATGTCTTCAAATAGTCCATCAGACATGCCTAACTTCAATAACAGTGCTTTAAAAGATAAAATAGTCTACTTCTCGGCAGTGAAATTCCACTTGTGTTACAGAATGTGATTATTCTGTTGCAATAATACTGTCTGGGCTAAATTTACTCCTGTTTGCTGTGTTATCGTTCTCCTGCTCCCTTTTGCTCTGCTACTGATCTGCATTGAAACTTCATAGCAAAAAGTTCTCTTAAGAAACCAGACCCTCAGAAAACAGTTTTGGATGGGGTAATTTTCTTCTTCAGTAGCTGAAGGTCACCATTCCCAGTCTGTTTGTCACTTCTGCTTGCTTTTTTCTTCTCGAAGCTCAACTAAATGGACAATTATTTGGAGACAGTGAAGCTAGTTGTCCTAATTAATACAAGTAGGCCCAGCTGAGTATAGTACTTTTGACACCACTCAGGTGGTATAGGTAAAAAAGCCTCCTCCATTTGAGAACTAGGTACTGAAATGGAGAAGTTTGGGGTACCTGAGATTGTGACATTCCTGTGGTAAGGGTATGGGGTTTTTTAGTTTGTTTTTAATTTGTGCTTGGTTTGTTGTGTAATATGTTCAATGTATGGACTTTTGGATATAAGAGGCCACATCTGAGAGAGAGAGGTTTCCATAAAGAAAAAGCTTCCCTTCAAATAAGGACCATTGAGTGGTTACTCAAGCCTTGTAGCTTTTGTTGATCCTGAAATAATTAGTGGTGCATTTCATGTTGTGTCCGAATGTGCTAGGTTCATGTAGCAGCTGGAGGTGTATGGATTAGCCACTGAGTGAAGAAGTACAAGGGAGAGTGCAGGATTTTGTTGTGTTTGTGCTGTGTTGTAATTCTGAAATGAAGACTATGACAATGTTAACAAGATGCATGAAGGGATGTCCTTTTTAACAGGAGTTTTTTCATATAAATGGTTAAAAAAACCTCGGAAATCTTTGAAGGTATAGTTCTTGTGTAAGGAGATGGCAGAATATTATGCTCATCTAACAAGCATCTATCATTTCATTGCTATTTACTCTGCTCCTTGATCATCCCTCTCCATTTCTGAGCTACCTTTATGTTGGTAGCTGTCACTGACGACTTCTACTTGCTCCCTTGCATCTGACAAAGATTATAAACAGGGCAGATTCTGGTTGTTGACTTTGAGAGTAGATTTTAGCCCAATTTACATAGATAAGATTTGGCGTGCTATCCTATCCCGAGTGTCTGTTCAGCGAAAAACATGCAGTTATCTGTGCCTCTATCATTTTGTTTGCCAGCAACCTGGCAAGAAAAACTCTTTTCAAGTTCTGACCTGGCTGATGGCTATTTGATGGCATAGAAAAAGAGTAAATAAATAGCAGTTTAAATAGTCCAAAACACATTAATTAGGTAAGGATTTAGACTAACATCCTGCATTTCCCTATCACCTTCAAGAATGCCATTAAATTATACTTTTAACCACCACACCTCTTCTGTACCTGTTAGCTAAATGCTTTGCCCTTGAGAAAAAAGACTTCCCCAACATCGGCAATAACACTGTTAAAGGTCTGGGAATGGCTCAGCCAGTGCCTGTTATGGTCTTGTAGCCACAAGACAATCCATCTTCCCCTTTATAAAAATCTGACTGTGGTATTACTGTGTGTAACCCATGCTGATTCTAAAAGCAGTATGAATTGTATACATCTTGCACATCAGTTTCAGTGTCTTAAAAAATGAAGAGGTTTTTTTTTTTTTTTTCCCTTTTCCCCCTTCCTTTGAAGTTTTAAAGCAGAACTTGCTGGTGACCCACTTTTGCTAACAGTTCTCTTAACTAACCCCTGTACTCACTTATACATTTTTTTTCTCTTCCACCCACTGTCTGTCTAGCCTGGTTTAAAATTTTTATATATGTACTTTTAAAAAATTGATTAGTTGGAGAGCTGCCCGTTCTTCTGCGCTGTATAATAAGGATTTAAAAACTGCACACTGAATTCTGTATAGTGTAATTAAAACTGACCCAGATTTGGACATGAGAACACCAGGACTTAGCCAAACTTGCCATGAGCTGAGTTCTGATGGCAGATGGAAGCTAATGAGGACACACTACACTCCAGAATTTCCCAGCTGCTTGGCCCCTTTTTGTACAAACAAGGTTTGGAGTGAAGTCCCAATCCCAAGAGTATGTTCAAGCAAATGTACTGCACCCAGTTTTGGGAAACAAGGCAGTAGTGTCAGACTGCTTTGGGAAATTTTTGAGGCATTATTTCTAATGGGCTTTTACTGTGTCATGAATATGCTGTCTTCCATCTTGTCCTAGTCTGAGTGTGATCATATGGTTTAGACTCTATATGAATACCCTCCTCCCATTTCAGCTGGGAGGGCTTCTACTTTAAATTAATGGAGTGTTTAGATCCCAAAATACTGGGTCTCCCTTCGACCTGTAGTTCTCTCCAGTGGATTCAATGTCCTGGGACTATTCAGGCAGATGTAATTGAATCAGTTTGCAGCAGCTGTAGCTGGCATGTGGTCTCTCAGATTGCTAGCACCTGCTTGGTTGGGTTTTTTTGTTGTTTGTAACTCACTAGAGTGAAAATAGTGCCAAAACCAGCATTGGTCTTGGAGCTGATAAAGCACTCCCGCTCCTATATTCCTTTCCCCTTCTAGCCCAGCCACCTCATTACTGGTGCCTGCAATAATGTTGTTGGTAGTGAGCAGAAACAGGTTTATGCTTCCCCTCCAACTGCCTCCCTCCCCTTCAAGCCAGTGCACTGCCAACACTGACTCTCTTCTTCATAAGCAGTAAGACCTAATCGTGCTCAGGTGTGCAGAGCGTCTGTGCCTTCCTTAGAAAATTGGGCAGCCCATGCTTTGCTGTGTCTGATGCAGGCAGCACCGAATTTATCTGCTACTCTAACAGCCTCACTGCTGGCATGGCAAAATGACTGTTCTTCGTGTGTAACAAATGACCAAGGAGTCCTGGGAGGTTCTGCTCAATACTTCTGCTCCCTTCCTCTGGTGTACTGTACATAGCTTTTGGTTACTGTGTTCCTGCTACAGTCAAACTTTTCATAGGGTAAGATTTCAGAAGGGACCATGAGTCACTTGGTTGTCTCTCTGTATTGTGTGATTTACTGTAATCAAAGTTCAAATTAAACACTGTAGTGCACTTGGCCAAATACAGTAACAACACACAGTGGTGTGGTTTTCAATGTAATATTACAAGATGACATATTGCAACATTAACTTTTTTAATATATCCCTCCACTGACTTCCCCTTAGTTTGTGCATAAAGTTTATGTGCCTCCCTTTTATTTGTCCCTCTGTGCCCCAGAGATAAAGGATGTATCTGGATTTTTAATTCCAGCCATTTTCATCTTTGGTATTAGCCCCACACCTCATTTCTTGCTCTTTTGCTCTCTCTCTCACTCTCCCCATTTTTTTTTTGGTGTTGCCACTTATTTTAGGATTGAGAGGGTCTTCTCCTCCTTGGCTGATGTGTGGGACTTGATTGCTTTCTGCAATAGCTTTAAAAATTGCTATTTTGGGGAATTAAAAGTCAGTTCCACAAAGTGTTCCAGGTTCTGAAGCTGTTTCTTTCTTTCTGTCCTTTTAATCTATATCTTGAATTTATATCACATTGTGAAGGGTTTTGATTTGTCTGTAGATATTTGGGATGTAGGCAAAGTCTCTCCTCCCACGGAATATTCCATCCCTGCTCCAGCACGTGTTAATCCACAGCTTTCTGTAGTTTGTTGGGCTCAGGCATTTGAAGGGTATTACTGAAGGCAACTGCTCTGGGGTTCAAAATACAATTTCAATTCATTGGAAGTTAAATGCCAGTTTAAATATATAGAATTAATTTGATTTGGGTTTTTTTCCAGTATACAGGAGATGTTTCTCTTTATTTATTTGTTTTTACAGTACAAAATAATCCTGGTTTTGCATTGTGTGCTTAGATACCCAGATAAACTACCCAGTATAACTTGTAATTGGGAAAGTGGTGCAGCTAAACATTTTAATAGTTGTCTGATGGAACTACAGAGGAAAAAAGAAAAACAGAATTCCAATCAATTGTTTTTACTAATCCAGTAAGATTATGTCACTGCTTAATTTTTCTCTTGTCCTGTTGTGATTTGTAGTGTTTTGTTTGTTTGTGGACTTATTTTGTTTTCTTCCAATCTACACTCTGCTTTCCTACTCCCTTTTGGTTAGTCTCAAAATGTCTACCAATAAAAACATCCATTTGTAATGATAGCTTTTGCTACTCTTTGTAGTCTGAAAGTGTTGCAGCTGCAGATATCTACTGAATAAAATTTCAGCCACCAGTTCTAAGAGGGGAAGCTACTAAGGCTTAAGTTAAGAAATAGCAATGACTACTGTGGCTCTCCATTTTTAGAGGTACTATTTTAAAGCATTTTTGCTATAAGCAATGTTTATTGTGAGTTAAATAATGCAGAGTAAATATGTAATATTTTATCTTTTTCAGATGTTTTGAGTACCTAGCATCATTGGATAAGGTCAGTAGGACTATGGAGGGGAAACTGTTCTTGGCACTACAATTACTATATCGCCCATGGATATCTGAATAAATAGCACTAGCAAATTAGAAAATGTTGTTTGTATGCAAAAATACTTGGGAGTGTAGGGGAGAAACAAGCAAAGAGTAAGTATGCAGGTGTTTATCTTAGGATTTCTTAGTGCCATTTGTAGCCAGCTAGAACAAGAAAGCATCTGCTTCTCTTATGGTTGTCTTGAAAATAAATACAGTTTTAGTTCAGCAGCAAGTGCTAGCTGATATATTTTATTTCTAGAATGCTTTTTTTTTCGTTTACTTTAAAGTTTACTTTAGAAATGCAGGCACTAAATAATTGTAGATTCTACGCTAAGTACAAGAGGTAGTAGAGAACCAGAGGAATTTGTGTTCTCAGGAAGTCTATCTGGCAGTAAGCGAAGAGAAAATCATGTAGATGTTCTTTTCAGTCTGCTAACATCCTGATGATGAGATGCGAATGAAGTGGTGTTTATTGTGCTGAGCCATGCTTTTTGTACATTTAATTTGATGGTATCTGTTCAGAGACTGTACATCTCTTACTTGGGTACAGGTAACTGATCGATTTTATGTGAACCATGCTAGGTTTTTGTGCCTATGGAGTACAGCGCTTTTCAAACTAAGATATTTTAGTAACTATATTAGTCACAGGAGATTGACAGAAAGGACAACAAAGGAAGATAATAAATTGATAATGAAGTGGGATTGTAGAGGATTGAACATGGATATTAGAACCATTTCAAACATACTTTTTAATCACTACCACTCTATCTCTATTCTGTCTAATGACACCACCCTGGTATGTATTGTTGAGTATTTGGTAAAAGACCACTTGACTTGTCACTTACTGGCAAGCATGTCCACATCCTTGATAGGGGTCAAGAGGGTTAAATGAGCAACAGGCAAGATTCTTCTGTTTGCCATGCAGATGGCCCTCTAGAAGAGCCTTTACTTATTTAAGTTGACAAAAACATTTGGAAAACTTGCAGTACGGTGTCTGATCTACAAACAAATCTTTTATTATCTGGGCTTTGCCTTCCATCACTGCCCCATAAACATGCAAGGTTAAGAAATCGGTACCCAATTTAACACTGAAGTGAATATAAAAAGATACTGTATTGTACTTCTAACTAACATATAAAACTGTGTGAGTGAATCAAACTAATACAAAGTAAAGATGCTAACAAAAATGAAATGGGCTCTAAATATGAGAGCATTTTCAAGAAGAAATTCCAACCCAGTTCTTTCTGTTGCCTTGACCAGGCAGTTTCTTGAAAGAAGTATGAGCTGTCTCATACATACTTAGGACATGTAACTCTTGTCCTTCCCAAAGCTTCAGTTTTTGCATTTCCCAAAATTCCATGCTCGACAACTGGACAGAAGGCTACGCTGAATTAAATTTTATTGTTCTGGTGTTCTCCATCCATTTGCAATGCACATAATCAGGAATTCAGCTGTGTCCCAAGAAACCCGTTTAACCTAATGAGAGCAAATGGCAATGGGTGTTTCTTACCCAAGACAGCAGTGCCAATGTTTCTGCTTAATTGGGACATATTTGGCTGGTTCCAGTGCTTCAAGTGGTTTCTAAACAGGTGTTTAATGGGTGTGGGATTCTGAACTCTGCCCTTTTGCTACAGCAGTTGCCAAATAAAGATTAACAGAAATAAAAAGATCTAATACAGAATAATAATTTTGTCTTTGTATATTTATTCAGCATAATTTTTACTTCAAGTCGCAGGCGGGTGGGGAGGTGTTTCTTCTCATTATTGAGAAAGTCCATTAAATAGAACAACAGGATGTCTAGCAGGGTGTCCTAATTAAAATTACCCTGTAATTTGAACAAAACATTCGTTTGTATGTTGCTAAGGTTGACCTAAACCCCATCTAAATCAGGAAAAAATTATTATGCTTTTTTTTTTCTGCTGAAAATGAAACTTAGCATTCTGCCAGCAAACAGCATGGTTCTGTTATTATACAGTATTCAAGAGTAAGGATTTTCTCTTCAGTGTTCAAAAAATAATGTTTTGAGTAAATTTTAAAAAAGGTTTCTCTCCTACCTCTGCCCTTTGATAGTATTCATTCATGGTTACATTTCTGTGGTATTTGAAAGCAGAGATAATTTTGTTCTGTGCATACTGTAAGCCCGTCTGAAGTCTTGGTCGTGGCCAGTGTATTGGTGAACTAATAAGCAACTGAGATAGCAGCTGCTTAGCAGAACTGATTGGCTCGGGCTTTACTTTGCTCTCAGCGACTCCACAGTTTCTGACTGGCTTGGAGTGCAAGCGGGGTAGTTTTGTTATCTCCAGGAGTGTGGGCCTGCATACATAATCCAGGCTGTCTACACAACTGAGGAGACTGTATGCTCCATGTAAAAATGACCTACTCATGCTCTAGCTGTCATGCTTTAAATTGCTGCTGAGGCAAATTGTATTTAATATAATTTATCAAATCAAAGTGAATATTTGAAAGTACTGACTTCAGAAATATTGTTTGTATTTAAAAAGAAATTCGCAGCATCTTTAACTTGACTGCACAAACTGCAGCTTGCAGATGTTGCTTCCAGGACGCAAGGTGGTAGAAGTTTGATTATTTATTTATGTCCACTTTCTGGTCAGGTTGGGGGAGGATTTTCAGAAATGCTCAAAACTGCTCTGAATATGCTGCTGATGTATTCAACTTGGACTTCTTCGCCATAATTTGAGTGGAAAGAGAACCACACCCTTGTTAGTTTGGATAATCCCACCCACATGTACAAAAAGTGGAGCTTGATAAATGCCAATACTTGATTTGGTGCAATAGGAATTCCCTTCCACTGAATTATTCTTCTGCTTAAACTAGCTTTTGTATTTTCATCTCTCAGCTTCAGTGGAGTATATAACAGCAAAAGAAAGCAAAGGGAAAAATCTGATGAACAATTTGCTTAACCTACTTTAAGCTCCAAGAAGAATTGTTAAAAAGAAGATTAAATTTGAGGCTGGTGTTGTGGTAATACACTTTTCAACCGATCAAGAGAACTTGAATAGAAAGTATTCAAATGTTGGCATAATTTAAAATTTTAGATTTCTGTAATTGTTTTAAAGGCAGTCAAAACTGATGTGGGCACCTGTTGTAATGTGGAAAAAGTGAAATTAATTCAATCAAACAAGTATTGGCTAGGGTATTTTATATGTATGTCTGTGCATATCTGTTATCATGTGGATATTTAGGTATGCATGTTTTCCAGTGAACAGTTATTTTCCAGAGAAACGTATTCAGTGACACCACAGGAAGAATATATGCACAAATGGGTTCTACTGGTAACTGTACCTTAAAGGCAGCTGTAGGAAAATGGGAATCTCCCATTGGGGAAACTAGCCAAGCCTCTTGTCTAGTGGTTGCATTACTTGAACAGATTTGTGTAACAACCTGTACAGCTGCCTGTGCTTGTTAGAATAACTGTTACCATCCTGAGCCTGTGTAGAATATTGGAATGAAAAATAGTAGTTGTGTGGATGCCGTTGATTCAGACTCACGTATGCTGGAAAGCATTGTTTTGTTATTGTTGAACAAAAATGTCATAAATTCTTATGCCTGGTCTGATGTCCTGCCCTCGAGGCCTGGTTTTAGCTTGGCAATACAAATTCTAACTGCAGTACTGAAAAGGTGGGTATTGGTTGTTGAGCTCATGAAAATAGGTGCAGATCAGGTATCTGCACTGATTCGTTTTCTCAGTTACTATAATTTCCAAAGATGCTGAATCACCTGTGGGTGCTAATTGGCTAGTGAAGCTCTTCCTTAGTGACTCCTCCTCCTGATGTTATTGTGGATGGTGGTGTCAGGTGATTCCTTACCACCAGAGAATGTCTCTTGTAGGACGTAAAATATTCCAATTCCATGGAGCGGGGAAGCAAAAGGAAGGGAATTTCAGTGTCTTCTGTATTCAGCTGAAATCCAGATACCCATTCTGCAAAACTGTTTGGACTGAGTGGCTTTAAAACTACTGAGGGTTACAAAGATAATTCCCCAGGATGGAATTGATGTTTCTTTTCTGGAAAGCAGCAAAAGAGACATGTAGTATGGTAACTACAGAGATGTAAAGGAATATTCCTGCTCTTTATCTCCAGGTGTATTTTCTGAAGTCCTTGAAATATTTTTCAGGAGGTTCACCACGTTCTGGTAGCAGTGGTTCTTAATCACATGCTTTATCATTTGTCTTTGGCAAGAATGCTCAATTCTTACCATTTGAATGTGGGACCTTGCCTCAGGGGAATGTGACTGTAATGCGTGTCACTTGAGGCTAATTCAACCTGCCACTTGCAAAATGCCCTTGGTGCAAATTGTAGCAGTGCACCGTTATCTCAAGCTGTTTTTCATCCGAGGCAGACTGCATCTGTTCTGTATGATCTGTGTAGCGCAACAATTTATTTTAGGTTAGCGTATTGGGGGGGGGGGGGGGTGTCTTTTTTTACCTATAAAGCTGTGATTGGTTTGGCTTCCAGCTGTGTGATAAGAGTCTTTCTCCCATGTCATAGCAAAGCAGCACTAGACATCACAAGGTGTAGGTGCTCAGCAGCTTAAACTAATCAGTGTTGATGCTGCTCTGTTGCTGTTCCTTCAAGGAGAACTTGAACAGGTCTGCTGCCTCCCTAGCTCTAACCCTCAAGTTTCCTGCCTGGATATTGAGCTGCAACGAGAGTTTGATATGGCTAAAAACACATGGGAAGGAAGCCTTCATTCAGCTGAAAGCTCCCTGAACCAGGCACTTATGCAGTCCTGGCTCTAGGATGGACTTGGGGACATGTGACAAGGAGAGGAAGGAGGTGAAGGAAGGGTGGGATTGTGACAGCTCCAATTAAAATCAGTTTACATTATAACACAGCCATGCTTACAAGGTTCTGGAAATGATAACCCAGTGGTTTCAGCAAGATACAGCTGTTAGCATAGGATATGATAATCAGGGGAACTGTGGTTTTGGAATTTCCTTCCTCCACTATTTTCTAATGCATCATTTTGGTACACATCAGAAACACTGAAGATCACACACCTCAACCTTTCCACCCTTGAAAAGGGAAAATGATATGAAGGTTTGATTAATTTATTTTATGAGGTTTGGTTGCTGTATGTCACTAGAAGCAGATCAGGCAGAAGGGGAAAATAAGAAAACGTTTTTGTAAGCAGTAGGGAATGTTCCCCTCCGAAAAAAGAGCTAAAACTTCATTAGCATTTCAGCCAGCTTTAAATTAAAATTTGCATCTGAAAATAATCTATAATGTGTTTTGAGCACAAGTGAGTCACGTCAGGGCAGTATCAGCACAAGTTTCTTGTGTGTACAGCTTGTGATGTGGCTGCTGTACTGTCGGTGCTACTGTGCCTCTCATGCTGGTGCGAGAATGCCCGTGGAATTAACACTTAGCCTGGTGCTGATCACTTAAAGCCAGTGTGCTCCAGGCGATGTGGCTGGCTGGGGCAAACTAAACAGAGCAGATGACTGCTGGGTCCTGAATTCTATACCTGATTTGTGTGCAGGCTAACTTGGCCTAGTGCTTTTTAGCAGGACTACTCTTAGTCCATTCCATTGAAAGAGGTCTGTTTACCACAAAAAGAGGTTTCTCTTGTAACATTTCTGTAGGACAGGCCCTTTGAACATGCCACCAGAGTGACTGGGTCAGCTTTCACCCATCCCTATGCCACTGAATGGTGATACTTTAATTTTTATGCCCCACTGAGCCTAAGTCACTGAGTTTGATGCTGGGGAGAGGTCAGAAGTGCATCTGGCAGCTCTGCTGTGTAGACAGGACAAATGGGAAGACTGCTTTGTATCCCTAGGTTATGCACATATGAGAGGATGTAGGCATCTGCAGCATGCAGCCTGAAATATTTTTTTCTGCAAAGTTTTTATGTCAAATCTACATGGATTAAATTTGTAGCGGTCCTGATCAGTTGAGCAATCCCAACTGCAGAGCCTTTGGAGAAAAACACTTTGCTGATTGTATCATGCTTTTGGTAGGGCATGTGTTGCAGTTCCTGGCAACTGTTTCTAAAGGGTTTTCCTTCATGCAAGGTCTTAAAAGATAATTTTCTCCTCTTTTTTTCCCCCTCTCTCCTAAGGAAACTAGAGGGCTTGACGCATCCTTTACATCCTGCATTTACTCTGACCACAGTCCCTCCCTGTTCTCACAAGTGGAGCTCAGCCCTGCTTCCCTTCCTGTTGATTCACAGTCAGCTACATGGTAAGTTTTCACTATCTCTAGACTTGTTGCCACGAGGTAAAATTCTGGCAGACTCTCTCTAAAATCCATTAGCACTGGGCATTGAGGGCAGAGCACTTCATGCCCATCAGAGATCGTTCAGTTGTATTCCAGGCTGACTGCAAGGAAAGGAAGATAGTATTGAATTAGCATTGGAGCTGAACTTCAGCATAGATTGTTATAGGAATAAAATATGAAGTAAAATATGTGACAGAATTAAATCCATCAGTTCTAATAAAAGAAACAGAAGAAAGCAAAGAAATATTGGACCCTTAAATCCCATTAACCAGGCCAGAGAGAGAATGCATTAAAAGGAAGCTGCACTGTATCTTTTTTCATTGTTTGATGAAATAATCTTTTTCACCCTTTAAGTAGTATGTTTAAAACTTCTAGTATTTCTGAAACAAAGCGAATATACAGCCACCGAGCTAGCTGTTTTTTATACCTTCCTTTCTGAGTATTGTCCTTCAGTGCAATACAGAGCCATTTCTTTGTTCTCACAAGCTAGCAGTTAAATTGTATGTAAATGTATGCAAATTAGATGCTGTCTAATAAAGAGAGTCATTAGATGGAAGAAATATTTAGTTTAGAGGGAAAAAAGAGAAGAAAGCAGGTGTATTTTGCAATAGAAAAATGTAAGATTGCAAAAGCCCCTGAAAGTTTGGGTGAAGGCTTTTTATAAAGCCATTAAAATATTTTCTAAAAGACTTGCCCACCTCTTAGTCCTATTTTTCGTGTGTTCTTTTATGTATGTGCATTTCTGTGTTATTAAAACTCACTGGCTGTGCTATATATACAGACATGTAAGTATTGTATTTATAAGTATTTTATTTCTTTAAATCATCAATTTACACACATGTACGTTGTACTAGGGTGTGTTTTCTGTTTACTTAGTAGAGGTGGAACTCGTGGTAAATTTTATTTTCATAGATTTATTTATTCATCATATGCCCTGACTGGATACCTTTTCTCCCTAAATCATCTTCCATTTTATCAACCCTCTCCTCTACAATTTTAAAACTTCTCCCCCCCACCCCGCTTTTATTTATTCACCAGATTTCAGTGCCAGGTGCATTTCTCTTCTTTCACTTGAATTTTCTGCCAAGTTATCCCTTTTGAGGTATGGACCTGATTTAATCCTGAAGCAGCAGTGACTTTTCTTAACATGAAGTTGCAGCTTTACTGTCAGGTGTCATAATAGTAAAATGCTCAGAATGTGAAGCTTTATGTCATCCAAAACTGGAGATTCCACACCCGTGGAATGGCCACCTGTGGATGGAGCACTTGTATCTATCTAGGTTCTGAAAGATTTATAGCCGTTGAACCTTATTTTCTTGCCACTTCTAAGGAGGTGAAATTTGAGACTCTCTCTACCTTTTGCATTTCTACTCTAGCTCTTTCAGCACTTCTGTTTGAGTGTTTTGAGTATACAAAGGTGATATGGCTCAATTATCTTCAAGTCTTTGTTATATTTTGTTTCTGATGGTCAGTTAGCATGACTTCAGACAGAGACAATAACTGTATGTCAACTTGCCTATTTTTTCTGTTGCAGTTTTGCAAGTCTGGAAGTCTAAAGACATATATGTGTATGTGTATAAAATATATGTATATAAAAATAATGTTGTTTAAATATTTACATACAAAGCCAAAGGATTGGCTTCCTTCCCAGAATTACTGGAACTACCTTCCCCAGGAACATTTGGACTTGAGAAATCTCTACAGCAACACATTTTTACTGAAACTAAACAACTTCTGAAGTGAGTAACTAGCTCTGCAACCCTTGTTTTTCATATGGGTTCTTTAGCTTAGAGTGATGGAGAGACCCCTCTGCACGGGTAGTTCATTTCCAGATAATTATGGTAAGATTATCTTTTATTGCCATTTCCACCCCTCAGTTTCTCATTGGCTTATTTTATGAGAGAGATCTTATGAGGGAAGCTTGGACAGAGTGGGAGTATTTTTGCTACAGTTCTAGGACAGGTCCATGCTGTATGCTGCATCTGAGCCGTGTGTGTATTCTGGGCACTGCGTTCCTTTATGGACAGCTAAAGAGCTGTCAGACTGATCACTCAGAACAAGCTGACTCCTAGCTGCCCAGTGTCCCAATTACCCTGGCTGAGCAGTCAGCAGAGAAGCTATAACGTGCCTGCTCCCCAGTGGGAAATGTAAGCAGAGTGATTGTAAGGGCATGGTGGAGGTTTGGCAGTGAATATTTCAGGTATTCGTGAAGGCAGAATATGTAAGGTGAAGATTGTGAGGAATGCAAAGGAAATCTGAGCTGTAATATAAAGATACTAGAGAGAGATGATGTTAAAGTGAGGAGTAATGTGGCATATACTGGTGACTAGGAGGGATGAGGCCATGGTAACAAGCAGAAAAGGTTGGTGGTTTCCTGACTCACTTGAGGTAGCACTCTTCTCGGTTGTCTGGCATTGAATGTCCAGGAGAACTGCGTCATTAGTGCAGGCATTTAACGTGGATGTTACACAGAGTTTGCAATCTAGGTAGATGTAGTTATGCAGATTCTTCAAGTTTTGGGAGGTGGTGGTTAATCCTGAAACCCCAGCTGGGAGATTTACACTGAACATGGGACAGGCTAGCAAAAAAAGTACCTTCTGTCTCTCATATTTTTGATCAGGTTGCAAAAAATGCATATCGATGGCTGATACTCAAATGGGAAGAGTAATTCAGGCTTAGGAGCAGAGATCTGATTAATTTCATATTCCTTCCCATGCTTCCTGTGGTCTGGAGTAATTGTTCAGGGCAGGAGAGAATTCAGTGCCTACCTACTTTTGAAGATATGCGTCTTGCTACCTTATCCATCTCGACAACAACAATAATACAGCTTACCTACTCTTGAAGTACATTGCAAGCATATATATGCATTAAAAAAGTGAGACTTCTGTATCCTCTGATGATGAATCCAATAGCAGTACTGTAGACAGATACGGGAATCAAACCCCTGGTGCATCAGATCAGGCATCCATCCTGTTAATGTCTTCAGCTTCAGCAGTGGGAGGCACAAGAAATCCTAAGTTGTAATAGTGGAGCAACTAATTTTTTTCAATAGTGATCTTGATACAAATGAGAATTTCTAAACATGTACCTCTCAGGAGCTTGTGCATCTTTAAAGAAATAGTTTTAAGAAATAAAATATGCCACACTAAACTAATCCTAGAGCTAACGAACAGGCATTGGGACTAGCAGCTTTTGCTATTACCTACTGCTTATTATTGTTATTATTATTATTTCTTTTTAATTATGCAAAGTGCTAATCAGTTTGATTATGCACAGTGCTAATCAGGTTAATTATGCAAAGTGCTAATCAGTTATTCTCTAAGCACATGAGGAGAGCAGAGGTGCTGGCAATGAATGGTGGTTCTAGATGGGGGTAGTCACGGCAGTCATTCCTTATTAAAAGAGGAGTAGGTGAGATGATAGGGGTTTTTACTTCCATTAAAAAGTAAATAAAAAACAAAAAAAGAAGAGAAAGCCATGAGGGGGATAGTTCTGACGGGGTAATTTTTCTTTCACAGCAAGACAGACTTTTTTTCCAAGTCAGCTCATGCTGTTGGGTAATTTCTGTAGGAGTTTGAGTGCACTGATTTGGGCAAATGTGTTGCAGGGGAGTCTTCTAATGGCAAGGGTACAAGGTGGGTCCACTTAATAGGTCGGGGTGCATAACTAGAAAAATCATAAATTAAAGGAGTTTGGTCAGTCTAACAGAGTCACCTTTTAAGCACTGGTAAGTGGGATAGTGATAATGTAACATGGATGGCAGTTGTTCATGTGTTTTTATGTCTGAAGATCCTGTATGCGCATACAAAATGTGTTTCTTTCAGTGTAATGCCTTTAAAAGGTGTAGGAGTGCAGGGTGCCTTACCAGTGGAATGTATGTTATGCTGTGTTTCTTCTTCCCCTTTAGCACTAAATTAAAAACTAGAATTTGGTATTCCTATGAAACAAGATATGTTTTCACTAAGCTATGTTCTCCCAACAATTACAGAAGATTCAATGTGTCTCTCTTACTATGCTCAGTGTCTAATATCTAACCGGTATTCTTTTTTTGATTTTGTTTCAGTATTGGTGTGGGATACATAAGCATTACTTTTTTCAGTTAGTAATGGAGATGACCTTCCCAGAGCAGAAAGCTACTTGCTCATGAAAGTCCTGGGTAAAGGATCTTAAGAGATTTTTTAAGTCATTAAAACAAAAGACTACTTTATAAGGCCATCAGTACTAAAGGTTACTGCCCCAGCAATGCAAAAGAAATTTTCCTTGAAAAATTAAACATTGAAGATACTAACTTATGGGGAGTCATGAAAAATTTTAGAATGTATTTTGGGTAGGAAGTAAAGCAATGCATCACTAATATATGGCTTAAACCAGAGCCTGAAAACTAGTAATATTGCCTTCTTGGTTTTGTGACTACTCCACAAGACACTGATCCTTAAAACAAGTTTACTACCAAATATGTGGTCACAAATATTAATCTCTTTTTATAAATTTTTTCTGGTGTTAGAAGCCCAGTGTAGAAATAGACAAATCAGTGCTCCAGCATCAAGTCTAATGCCTTAGGTCTGGAGGAGAGGAGTATGTGATGCAAATGAACTTGAGAGGAGGACACACCAGACACAAGTGTCCTGAGACTCTGCATGCTTTGCTGTCTGAGCATCCACATCTTTTCAAGTGGGAGTCAAATCCCACTTCTTTTTTGAAAAGAAGACTCAGAAGTTTCCATTTTCCTGTGGGTATTTCCCTATAGTATCTAAAGGTTCTGTAGAGTCAGAAGACCCTTGAAAGGCCGATGGCATAAACTCCACACCGTAGAATTTGCATCTTAGAAATATAAATCTACCTGAGACATAATCATAACTGCTGTTGAATTTCACCTTTTCAGTTGTCTGTCCTTCTGATGAACTAGGGAACTAGAAAGGCAATAGTCACATGCTGCTCCTAATCCTACTGCTCTCTTTGTAACCCTGCTTGTAACCCTGCTAATTTGCATTACCTTGCTCTACCTTAATTTATCTTGATGGCAAAGTACCTAACACAATGGTGGTGGTTTTTGGGGCAAGTGGATTGTTTGCAAAGTACTTCGATATCTCTGAACTGAAAGGGTTATAGAAGTACTATGAGAACTATGAGTACTATGGGAAGTTGTATTATTAAGAAGCATCACCAAAGCTTGTGATATTGTGTAAATTGGTGCAAGAGGGCACAAAAATCATTTGTGTATTCCTAAAGAGTGAAATAAGTGGATGGAGAAAACTCAGTTGCCTTGACATGAAGCTAATGAGTTAGCAACAAATGAGGAAACCCCAGTAAGGAAAATCTGTGCCTCCCATGCTTGAAGAAGTGTACCCTGAGTGAACAGGGAAGTGATTTGCTTGTATGGCGGAAAGTAAAAAGTAAGTAATTGAAATTGAAAGTAATTACTTCAAAACTCCTTTTGCATTTTCTTGAGGACCTGGTGTTCAGAGATACAGGCTAACTGCTACTCAGCCCAGTAGGAGCTGAGTCTGCTCATTGGCATTCACACAACTGGGAGCTGGTGGAGAATTAATACCAAGATTTTAAACATTCAGCCTGACCTTTTAAAGTTACTGACCTGCATTCAGGTTACAAATACGCAGCAATTTTCTCTTGTGCTGCAAAGATTCTAAATGTTAAAACAGTAACTCAATCAGACTAGCAGCCCTTCTCCTTTCTATTCTCTTGTCCCCAGCTGCCATGACTGGAGTAAAGGAACAAGAAACTATCTAAACGTATCCATATGTTACTGTGACACCAGTAGATGGAAGAAGGCCAACTGACATAAACTAACACAAAGTGACGCATTGTTTAAAAAGTTGTTTCGAATGTCTTCCCCCATTGATCTTCTTTAAGGTAGATAAATAAACACTGTGTGTGGTGCAGTCAGAGTATTTTTACTCCTACAAATGTTTATACATTCTCTGGTGGTTGTTTGTAATGCTGTTTGTTGACTGTAAATTCCAGACCTGTATGTTTAATGTATACATTTATAGGAGCAGTGCAGTTTTGGGGAGTGCGTCAGGGTAGTGCCTCTTATGAACACTACCAGGTGAATAATGTGTGGTTTGTTTTTCTTCTCATTCCAAAGTAGTGAATTTGTCTTTGTGCTCCCAGTGAAAGAGAGGGCTGTGGTGGCAGGAACTTTAGTAAAGCAGGACCTGCAGGTCCATGAGGAAAGCTATATAGGATTTGTCTGGTAGGATCAAGTTACTTTAGCTTTTCATCTAATTAACAAATAACTCTATTGCACTGTCATTTCATTCAGTGGTGATGAGGATGATATGTGCTTCCTCTCAGGAGGAAGTGACTGAGGTTTTTACAGATGACAAAATTCCTGTTGGCTGAGACCACTCCTGCTCCTCTGTTCCTGTTTCACAGTTCTCTCCTCTGTCTTGGAAAAAAATCTTCCCTTTTTCACTTACTGTTACTATCAGCATCTTAATCCCCAGGGCAGTGGGGGTGTGTGGAAGATTTGGGGAATGATGCAGGTACTTTCTTCCCCTAAACTGAATGAGCATAGCTGCCTGAACATAATGTATGTGTAGGAATAGTTCAGCTTAATCAGTCACCGTTTATCCTATTAGGGGGAATTTCCCTTGAACCCATGCTTCTGTTGTGTTTGTGTAAGTTAAAATTACATGGTTTGGATGTTCCAGCTTGCCTTACACTTTCCTTTCTGCTCTCCTGTGCACCTTATCTACATTTATTGTGCACAGGTTTC